ATAATAATAATAATAATAATAATAATAATAATAATAATAATAATAATGATGATAATAAACTACTTAAACTAAGACCCTATATTCGCCATTCTGTTTGTTAAACATGAACAAAGCAGGGACTGACTGGATGTTGTTTACCAGTCCATTTCAACAACTCCTACATAGTCCTTAGCCTATGAGAAGAAACATCCCCGTTATTTCTGTATTCCCGAAATACAGGCCCAGTGAAAATATTTGAGGCTCAGCAATTCAGAAACCATTTTATTCTCAAACAGCATTCATTAACCAATTCCAAATGAAATCTAGAAGCAAGGCAACTAAAGGTGCAGAAGCAATTAGAGTAGAACATAACTATAAAAGCCAACATCAACTTGTTAAAAACTAAAAGAAGCAAAATAGCATGGAGTATTTAATTATGTATTTGTGGCTTAAAAGAGAATTAGCAAATGTCTGTCCTGCATTCTGCCAAAGTGGGGACTACCCACCAAAGGATTCCATATTCTTTCCTGTGATAGCAATAGGTTCCTCCCTTTTAAATCACTGAATTTTAGTCTAAACTCTAATGACTAGGTGGAAATACATTACTATCAGTAAGTGCAATGTTTGTGTTTTAGTTTCTAGAAATTTAGGAAAAGCTTACAGAAGATATGGAAAAGTGATTTCTTAAAACCAATATCAATCATTTAAATTTTAACAGGATACCAATCACGCTTCAAAATTTGCTAGTCTACCCCTCCCCAAAAATCTGAGGGCACACAGAGGAAGAGGGGTGGAAAGGCAGTAAGAGTCAGAAGGCCAGGAGGCCCGGATAAACTGACATCTCCTGGATATGACAGAACCTGCATTCAAACTCACAGCAGCCAAGCAGCCTCCAGCTTGCAGTGGGCGGGGTCTCACAAGCCCTCAGCCCTAGCTGAGGACCTGTTGACAGCTGATGGCTTCTGGGGAGGGGAGAAGCCCATTTTCTTGAGGAGCATGGTCCCTGGTAGACAGCCCCACACCCATGACCATGGGCAGCCGAAATTGGACTACTCACTGGGTTATTTAAAGAAAAGAACATGAAGTTGGGTGAAGGGGTAAAGGGGTGGACCTGGGAAGAGTTGGAGCAAGGGTAATACAATCAAAACATTATCTTACGCCTGTACAAAATTCTCAAAGAATTAATAAAAATCATTTTATCATAATATTTCCTAGTCTCAACCCTAAAGACTTGAAGACACATTTCCTTCAGTTTAAATCAAAAGGCCATTTTGGTTCCTAGGAGGCAGGAGAGCTAGCAAATAAGAGATAACGTCACAGAGTTTCATGGCATTTTCACGGCGAAGTTCTTCCCCACTTGAGAAAAACTTCTAAACCATTATCTGAAAAAGACACTTTAAGATCATGGTTTTGTTTAGCTTATATGTTGAAAGTTCTGTTGGGCATCTCAAAAGATCCACAATTAGTGCAAAAGAAAGGAGATGACATTAAGTCATTTCACAGCATAACTAGAACTTAGGCGGCTGTGAAATTGTGTGTACAGTTTTGTACTTTGCTTTCTGAAGGCTAGCACATATAAAAATAGATTGACATTAGGTTTAAATCACATATATTATAAGCTTTATTTTAACTGCAAAAATATTTTAGCCACATTTAAGGGAAAATAAACTTACTGGGACTATAAACTGCATATTTCTAGAAGCCAGATGTAAGAATACTGATTATTTTCCTTCTAAGTGGATACATGCCCAAACTTCTGACAGTAACTGTGTAGGAATGAACACACACAAAAAATACTGTTCCTTCTGTGGAAAATCCACATCTGTTCCCCACTCCTCCATCTGGTAAGGCTTTGGTGTAGGTCACTTCCAGAACACCTGTTATTTATCGTTCTTCTTTGCCCCTTTCTTCTCTTCCTCCTGCTTTTCGGTGTCTCTTCTAACACCTGTGCTCGCTGCTCCTTCTAGACTTTCCCTCTGAGAGCTGTCAGTGATGTGATAGTCCTCAAGGAGAGTGTGTCCTGTCTGCTTTGCAGTTTTCTTCACCATGGCTTTGATGCCAATGTTGTTAATATTGTAGGCAGTGACTCCAACATTGATCGCAGAGTCCACTGCGTTATGTGTGGCTTCTCCAGCGTTGTGTCCATACCTTTAAAAAGGGTGGAAATGTAGCAATGACATTATAGCCCACAATATTTCTAAAAACATTCTCGTAGTATCAGTAGTAATAGGTTATGTGATTTCTATACCATCCTTGAAAGCAAAACAGAAGCTTAGGTTTCAACTAGGTTAATAACTGAAGACACAGGAGACAATAGAACACCAACAGCACAGGCTCTAAGATCAAAAATTAATAAATGGTACCTTATGAAACTGAAAAGCTTCTGTAAAGCAAAGGACACTGTCATCAGAACAAAACACCTGCCTACAGATTGGGAAAAGAGCTTCACCAATCCTACATTTGACAGAGGGCTAATATCCAGAATATATAAAGAACGGAAGAAATTAAACACCAACAAACCA